GACGTGGGGAACTCTGTGCCACCACTTAACCCTATCCGTACGTCGTGTTTTACTATCGTATCCATACGACGTGGGGAACTCTGTGCCACCACTTAACCCTATCCGTACGTCGTGTTTTACTATCGTATCCATACGACGTGGGGAACTCTGTGCCACCACTTAACCCTATCCGTACGTCGTGCTTTACTATCGTATCCATACGACGTGGGGAACTCTGTGCCGCCACTTTCCAAAGAGAAGATTTACTCGTTAATACGATCCCTACGCTTTGCACAGCAGTCTGTCAAAATTATTTTTTTGAGAAATACTAAAAGTTTCAAAGAGATCTTCATACTAGAAGTATTTTAAAAAGTGAAGAATAAAACCCCGGTGGTACAAAATGACCCCAGGGCGTACGGATAGGGTAAAACATCGTTTGCCTACCCTAGCAAGTGAAGACTGGTCCCACGGCGGGTGAAGCGGATGAGATCAACAGAAGATCCAACGGTTGTGAAGGCGGGGCCAGCAAGTGCTGTGGGGCGCGTGAGGACATGGGCGAGGCAGTAAACAAGTGCTGTGGGGCGCGTGAGGACATGGGCGAGGGAGCAAAGACGTTTTGGCCATCCACTATCACCAAAGCCCTGCGGCGATAGGCAAGTGGCGAAAGTAACAGGGGCAGGTGAGCCTGGCAGTTACAGTCACAAACCTGCACGCCGGCGGCCATTGGGCAAGTGGTCGTCTGACTCCTGACCGTGGAAGCAGGATCTCTCGGCACCACTCACTGGCCACTGGGCAGCCTCTCAGGGACTGCACCGCCCACTCTCAAGGACTGCACCGTCCACTCTCAAGGACTGCACCGCCCACTCTCAAGGACTGCACCGCCCACTCTCAAGGACTGCACCGCCCACTCTCGGGGACTGCACCGCCCACTCTCAGGGACTGCACCGCCCACACTCAGGGACTGCACCGCCCACTATCAAGGACTGCACCGCCCACCCTCAAGGACTGCACCGCCCACTCTCAGGGACTGCACCGCCCACTCTCAAGGACTGCACTGCCCACCCTCAACCAGGGAGGAGTCTAGAAAAGATGACCCAAACAAATGCCTGCCACTCACAGTCTGGTCAGTTTACCGCGGCTGACAGACTCACCCATCTCGCGGTCAAAAAAGAAAAAGAAAGATAATCCTTGGATCCTGGAATGTCAGAACTCTCCTCGACAGAGACAAGACCAACAGACCTGACGGAAGAACCGCCCTTGTGGCGAGAGATCTCCAACCCAACAACATTGACCTCGCTGCACTTAGTGAGACAGATGAGGGCTCAGTGA